CTTCATGTTTTTCATAGTTATCAAGTGAGTGTCCTTGTAGATAATATAAGAACAAAATTTTATCTCCAAAACTCAAATCGAATCATGTGATGAAAATTGGTAATCGGACATGGAGGCGTTTTCAAAAGTTTTGATTTTTCTTTATTAAGAATGCGCAAAGCGTTGACATTTGTGGTAATAAATGAAAAATATTCTATTCAAAGTTGAATGAGTATATTAGACTTAACACCAAAGAACCAAAAAAAATTGAAATTTTTTCATTATTTTCATTCGCATAAATTTTTAATGTTATGAATAGAAATAAAAAATTTCTATATTCATACAAAATTTATTTAGAAATTAGAATTTTATTTATTTTAAGTACATATTAACAGATAGCATACAATTACATATCATTTTTATAAATCAAGAAAGTTGTATATTGATGTTATAATTGTGAAATAAATCATCTATTATAATTTTATTTAATTTATTTAAAATAAGTATACTAACTTCTGTTTTTGCAGATTTTAGATCACAATCAGTAATGCTGTCAATTCTGATATGAAAGAAATAAACTAGTGAATCTGATAATGCTTTCACATCAATACATTTCTGATCTATGAAAAAATTACATGAATTTGCATTGTCAACACGTAATTGAGTTTAAGATAAAGTACAAGATAGCGTAAAAATATATTTATTCAACGTCATTTTTTAAATATCAAATAGTTCAAAAAGAATGAAAATGGTTTCACAAGTTTCATTTTAATGCAATTCATCCTCAATTCATGCTCTTTAACATATTTTTGCATTATCCATTTTTTTCATTTTAAACTATCATATTGTGAAAAAATTTAATTATATCATCCAAGATAATTTTTTTAAGAAAGAAAAGTTTACATAATCAATTTTATAAATTTTCTATTTAAACTCTGGATATTCTGGATACTCTGGAATTTTTTGAATATATAAAAATCTGGACAAAAATTTAGTTTAAATAAAATTAATCAAAAACATATCCTGATTATGCTGGTAAAAACAGCATACTTAAGATTTTACCAGCATCTGGATTAATTATCAGATTCTAGATAAAATTGAATTGTATATCAAATAATATAGAACATATTAAAATTTTGAAGATTTTCAATTCGTTTTTTCTCGATTTAGTTTTAAAGTTGTGATCTCGTAAAGATATTATGTCAAATTTAGAATATTTTCTCAAAAATTTTCAAAAAATGTTATTCAAAAAATGTAATACTAATAATTTTACTTTAAATTCAAATTCATTTTATTCGATAAATTATTAAATTTTTATAAATTTTTTATTAATTAACTTAGCCGAATCGAATATACGAATGTTAACTGGACATTAAATTTCATACGAACATGGAAAGACCTTATCAATTGGGGCATAGATGAATCAAAATGTGAATGTTCAACTTAGGTCCAAACAGCGTTGTGATGCAAAGGTTGACCTGGTGCAAACACGATAATACTAAGCCTCGATATTATTGTAATAATTATTGTATTAAACTTTTCTAGACAGTATATAAGCATAAAAAAACATCAGGGAACACTCTTGAGATTTTGTTGGTTCAAATAAACTAAACCGTGTGAGTTTGATCTTGACATCGACTACATGCTTAAATTTTAATTGCTCTTTACATATAGGATCCACCTTCATATCCTCTGCACAGCTTTCCAAGTTCTTTTCTCTCGTATATTCCCTCCATGACTTTCGAGTATCATACTTTTGAAATTATATTATAACATATGTTCCTGTAACCATTTGTTGCGTGACATCAGAAGATGATATACTCATTTTCCATAATTAATATCTCAAAGTTCTCTATCACAACTGTACTCAAGTTTTGAATCTTTAGTATCAAGTCGTGAATTAAAATTCTCAATGGGGATAGGTTTCGAGTCTGAATTTGTTTCACCTTTGATTTTATATAATCAGAGCTTTGAAGTCGGTGTGATGCATGTTTACATAGCAAACCTGTTGTGAGCTTTCAGCTCTTCAGGTTTTGATTGCAACGACCGATTTTGTAATTCACTCGTATTGGATATGACAATCGAGATATTCCAGAAGTAGTATTAATTCTTAACAGGAAGTTGATACTCGAGATTCAATTTTGAACTGCTGGAGCTTGCTATAGCTATCATCCAAGTCATGATTTTCCCACCAATGACAGCAAGGGTACAAAAATTTTTACATAAAATCTAGACTGGATTACAATTATACTTGCATCTAGGTAAATCAATAGATGTGTAAATTTTATTCTATGTGTAAAAGAATTCTATATTCTTTTCTGCAAAAACTCATCGAACTTGTTGAAAGAATTTGAAACGTGTCAATCCAATAACACTTGCTTAAATTTCTTAAAACACTAATTTCTTCCGAAAAAATATAATCTTGACATGTATATTTATACTTGATCTATCTTATAAACTGCATTTCGTGCATATAAATTGTGAAATCGATGCTTGTAATTCTATGCCTTATCGAAAAGAATACAATTGACGTATTGAATCCTAATAACTCTAAAATTTATTGCCTCAACAGTACAACTGTACAGTTATATTCTATATTTATTCACTTGTAACATCACATCCAAATAAGGATTTGCGGTGTTCCAACTAAGCGTCCAATAATAGCAGTATGGTACAGCACATCCGGATTTCCTTAAATTAGAAAGTCATAAAAGTGTCCGGGAAATTGGCTTGTCTTTTTATGAGATTATCGTTGACTAGTATTTCGGAGATTATGTCAGAAGGAGTGACTGATCCTCTAACAACATCTTTACAGCCATAGACTGATTCAAGACTTTATCCCAACAAGAATATTCATGAAGACAAATTCAAGGCAAAAGTAACTCGGTAGACGAGGGCTGGGACTCCATGGATTGACTCAAATTTTCTTCTCCATACGAATGCCAAGCGGAAAAGCTATTAACCAATGTTGGGATCCAATCACACATCTTTGAGCTAGTATTATATTACAGCTGAAATCCCCTCTGAGCTCCACAACAAATTTTTCTAGGTGTATGATACTTGGCATGTGTCCGCCACGCTCAACCGCGTTGCAAAATCTGAGATTCTGGTGTAACCTGGCAGTGGTATCTCTTTAATGAAAGTCAAATTTTGGTTTTTGACCCGTTGAACTAAAACCTGCCATTAGTCGAAGTCAACATTTCAGGTAGAACAACGTATGATTCAACGGTTAGAGACTTTCGACATTTTTTAATACTCACGGTAGCTACAACAACGTACGTCTCTTATAACACGTGATCTCAATCGATGTTGAGTGAGTGAGCTTTTCTGATTGTTAATTATATTTGTTGTTGCTATTTGCTCCTACTTCTCGCTTTTTGGTCTACTATCAGAACTTTTCATTCGATGGTCTTCCATGCGAAGGTCTTCCACGGTCGAAACTAACTTCAAAGGTGGAAAATTATTGATCTATTCTCAGAAATAAAGTACAGAAACTTCTGTTGCCACATCGATACCTCTTTTGGGGAATTAGAATTCTTCGTGTCACATGAGAAGAAGTCCCATTTTCTATTCAATGTTGTAACGCTCAATCCAAATGTTGAGTGAGTGAGCTTTTCTGATTGTTAATTATATTTGTTGTTGCTATTTGCTCCTACTTCTCGCTTTTTGGTCTACCATCAGAACTTTTCATTCGATGGTCTTCCATGCGAAGGTCTTCCACGGTCAAAACTAACTTCAAAGGTCGAAGAAAAGATTGATCTATTCTCAGAAATAAAGTACAGAAACTTCTGTTGCCACATCGATACCTCTTTTGGGGAATTAGAATTCTTCGTGTCACATGAGAAGAAGTCACATTTTCTATTCAATGTTGTAACGCTCAATCCAAAGCTCCAACTGCGAATCAACAGCTCAAGAGGCATGGCAATAATCATGGCATGCACAACATAGTGTGACACATTATTCAATCAGGCCCACCGCAATCTAGTTCACCAGTGCATGTCCTAGACACCTGAATTCCGGAATGGATGTTTCCAGAAGCAGAGCAGATGCAGTCAAGATATGTTGTTGCGATCCTGATCGATCTTTCTGGATCGATCATCGGCCTGGACATGGCTGAGGCCCTGGGTTGTATCACAACTTGCGGCAGCAAGCGTGGTATGACTGCACAACTCCTCCGCTGGGGCAACTCGTTGCTCAGACTTCGTCGAAGTGAAAAGTTAGCCGTCTTGTTATACGAAGCAGGCCGTGACCGGTTTGGAATCCACGATTGCGAAAGTACAGATATTTCAGACGAAATAGAATCGATCGGCACACGGTATGTGACAGAGCATATTACGAGATACCACCCGGACCCGGAAGATTCTCTGGTTGTGTGGCTGGAATATCGGCACTGAGTTCAACAGTAGCCACCATCATAGACCCGAGAACCACATGGCTTTAATTCCACCCGCTGAATCGGTCTTGGATCCGCCGTTTGTTCGTCCTGAACTTTCGCAATTAGCTCCTCGGACAGATCATATTCTGATCAACTACTAGCAGCAGGGTTAACGACCAGGTCCTCCATACACCACTTGAATCTCATGTCACTCAAAGTCACCAAATTTCGTTACCTTCGCCCCGGATTTCCTGTGGTTGCAACCAGTTAGAGGGTTTCTAACGTGGCATGCTGACGAACCCAGAACGTGCGTGTTTGATCGGCTCGCCGAAGATTTCAAAACGCGGTCCACCGATCTGCCTCCGCATACTTCTCGGTTCCGAGCGAGAAGTGCAAGAGGTTTTGGGTTTCACTTGGGGAATCTTAGACTTCGTCAAACTCCACAATTTCCTGGGAATCCCCGCTGGACAGCAGTTGGTTAGATGGGTTCCGGCTCCAGATTCAGCGAACATTCATAACGAATTGTCCTCGCTAGTTCCGTGGCCACTTCAGCGAAGAAGAAAACGATTCCAGTTGCGGCACACGAACTGAAGACGAGAGTATCTCATAATATAGTCCTTATTTACAATGTTGAACACCGAACAGTCAAAGAACGCCAGAAGTGTATATTTACAAGCGTCAATGCAACGATTGCCTTGCAGTAGTTTATTCAAATTTCTTCTATCGGATGAATGAGCTCTTGGACGCTGAACTGATCTACCAACAGCCCCTCTCTCTATGGATGAATCTTTGTCGGTCGTAAATGACGACTCGGGGCCGTCGCCAAACAAACTCCCTTATCGTGGTCACCTGGCGCTTTGCACTCCAAAAGATTCACAAGTACAGTATAGGAAGGTTCGTCGATCTTCACGAATACAAGACTACTGCAACTGAAACCGATAATGTACAAGGTCATGCATGCTGAACACATTCTCCTCTGTCTCTCTGTCTCTCTTCTCTCTCTCTCTTTCTCTCTAATCTTTAGCCTTCGAGCACTGGCTACAGCCCTAGCTAATCAGTCAACTCAAAGAGTACAATAAATGCCAGCATTGGCTGTCTACGATTCAAACTATTTGTCAGAAGTTGGTGTCAGTCAGTGTCCGCCCTCTACAGCCTCTCCCAGATGAATTACTAAGGAATGTCATCTCTCCACAGTCGATGTAACGCGTCCGATCTCGAAAGAGTTGGCTGCGATGTCAGTAGCCAATTGTCTACGCCGATCCTGATGATGGTGATTGATATACCGTTCCTACAAGCTGAGCTGCTCAGATCTCGACCCGCACGGTACAAGCCGAATGAATGAATTAAGTACAACACTGAAAGAATGATGTGGGGATCGGGAAAAAATGTATGTGACAGATAGAGTTCAAAATGAAGGAAGCGCGACGGGAAAATTTCACGAGTGGAACACGGTGGCGAACGAAATCTGGCGCTGCAGCTTGGACATGCGGTCCGCATGCAGATTCAGCAGCGCCACCATGTTGCCGGCGCCGTCCGCGCTGGGCATCATGGCGATCCCGTCGATGAGCGGCCGCGGCGGCGAATTGCGGGCCGCGAAGGTCGGGCGCCCCCACCCGAACTCGATCTCGTACAGCGGGAAGAAGGTCCAGAAGGTGGCCGCGACGTCGTGCCCGAGCGAGTTCACGTGCTCGGACTTGGACGACGACATGCCCTTGTCCTCCACCCAGTCGATCAGCGACCGGAAGTACTCGTCGTTGATGTTGCGCGTGGCCGTGCGGATCAGGCTGGCCGCGTAGTGCACGCCCCCGTTGATGATGTCCGCCTCCTTGGCCACGGCGCAGGCGCTGCACACCACGTTGCCGAAGAACCCCGCCGGCAGGCGCAGGCGCTTGCGCCCGTCCACGAACATGAAGAACTTCGTCACGGTGTCGCGCGCGCTCTCGGCCGTGTACGCGTTGGCCGAGGCGCGCGCCTTCGTCATCTGGATCCACAGGTGCGCCGACACGCTCTCCGTCGACGTGTAAGGCCGCGGGGTGAACGGCGGCGGGTACAGGTTGGCGATGTCCTTCAGCTCCTTCACCTTCTCCTTGTCCAGGTGGAAGGTCCCGAGCCGAGCAGGCTCGGTGGTGCTCGCCTTGGCCGCCTCGGGGCAGATGTCCTCCAGGCTCTTGGTGCTGTACCCGTACACGAGGCTCGGGTTCAGAGGGTTACGAGGTGTGAGCATGCCGCGGTTGTGGTCCGGGCGCAACGAGATGGGCTTGTTCAGCGCCACCTCGGCCCACGAGCGCATGAAGTGCGTGCCCGAGAAGCCGTCGGCCACCGTGTGGTGCCAGTTGGTGCCGATGGCGATCGTGCCGCAGCGGAACATGGTGACCTGGATGACCGTGACGGGCATGGGCGTGAGCTGGTCCGGCACGTAGATCGGGCCCGAGCCGACCTTGGCGATTTCCAGCCCGCTGAGCAGGTAGTTCGGCTGCGCGCCGCCCCAGTCCTTGAGCTCGGCGTCGACCACGGCCTCGATGAAGATGGCGCCCTGGTCGTCGCACAGCAGATCGACCACGCCGTCCTCGCGCAGCGTCAGGCGCCCGGCCAGCGGGTAGAAGTCTACGAGTGTTTTGGCCAGCGTGGTCTTGAGGAAGGCCACCACGTCCATGAACGAGTTGTCGGCGTCGATGACATTGGTGTAGAAGTGGATGACGCTGCTGAAGGTCGGGTTCACGACGCGATCCAGATTGCTCAGCTTCAGCCAGTGCTCCTGCGTGGGCGTCTCGGGGCGCACGATCGTCTTCGACAGCGGGCGCACTTTGGCCCGCGGCGTCTGCGGGTCCGTGGCCTTGTGCTCCTCCTCGACGGGGTGCGGCGTGAGGGCGATGATGTTCTGCCCCTGCTCCTCCTGCTCCTGCAGCTCCTCGTCCTCGCCTATCGTGACCATTTCCTTGGGCATGGGCGTGCTGGGAGGCGTGCTGAAGATGTCCCTCGGCCTGGGCGTTGGCGCCACCGGCAGGTCCCTGTCGATCGCTTCATGGAATTCCTCGTCCTCCTCTGAATCCGACTCTACCCCGCTGTCCGTCCTCTTGGAAAACATCTGCCCCATCGTGTGGCCGGCAGCCTGTCACGAATTGAATTGAGCCTCTCTCGAATTTCTCGTTCCGATCGGGCTCCCTGCACACGGCTCTGATCCCTCTCGTGCGCCTCTGCCTGATCTAAAATCACAACACACTCGCTTCACAATCCTATCGATCTCCCGACCGATCCGCTAAATCGCATCTATCTCACAAGACCTTTGGATGATTTTTTGAAATTTAGAGTGAAATCCTTCGACCCCCACCACTACTGCTCCGCGCTGACACAAGGCATCAATTCAAGCAACAAACTTTGTCGGAGCAGCACGAAAACCATCTGAAACTCGTGGAACGACCAAATCGGTTCTACATACCAGTTGAAGCATAGAGGAGAAAGAGAGAGACGAAAGGTTGCAGCACAACGGTGGGTCTTGTGTCTGTTTAGCCTCTACTGCCTGCTTGAACCGAGCCGACGATGGTATATAGCGCTGCGCCCCGGCGAGGAAGCGTTCTTCCCGAGGACCCCACGTCCGAGCTCAGCCAGGCCCCAGAGGCGAGGGCTCTCAACGATGAACGCGTCCATGTTCAATTGGTTGTCGTCTTTAGGACCGAGTCCTCTTGCGCGTTGACATGGCCTCGGTTCAGCATTCCAGATCAAGCTCCACAGACGTGCTTCCCCTGGCCGGTGGGGCCCTCGCCGAGAGGCTTCTCCCGGACGAGTGATTCGTTGTGTGCGAGTAGAGCCGATCGAATGGCCCTTCCCATCCACGATCGATGGCGCTGTTCGATGCCCGAGATCGACCAGCGTCTCGCACCCTGAGCCTCAGGCTCAGGCCCGTGGGGGACTTATTTACACATTCAGCCTTGCAGCTCTGCTAACTCGTGCATGCGGGCACATTCAGCACTCGTTATATTTAGCCTTCGGCGCTAAGAGCGCATGTCCTATCCTCCCAGGTCCTTAACCTCTTCCTCCTCCGCATCCCGATCCCCTTCATAAGGACTCCGTTCCTACGGAGGGGATCTTCGAACATCTCCTCCCTGTTCATGCTTCCACCAATTCTTATACTTGATCTGGACACTATGCTGACTCGTGATCCGTACTACAGGTTTATCTCAGATACCCTTCTTTCGGTTCTAACGACTCGAATTTCGTGAAACGTACTGATAATGATATGCTGGAGAGCTGATTAATGATGAGTCCTGCTTCATAAGGACAGTACTATGATTTATCTGCAAAACGGATGGCGGTCTCCCATCTCTCCGAGTTCTGATCTCTGTGTTAAAGAAATGAGTGGATGTATGATCCGAAGTCAACGCTCAAAGAGAAGGGATATATGTGCGCATATTTTATTATGATGTCTCCGTTTGGAAGCTGACGAGTAGATCGTGAGGATGGATCGCAGGTGGTCGTCTCTACGAAAAGTCCAGTGTATCTCGTGAAAGTCAACAGAATCCGCAGTTTAATGAACGGAGTGGTAACTTGAGCATGCGAGATTTTCCACTTAACATGTAATCAGATGCCTGAGCAGGCTGCTGGTATATTCTCCTTTCAGCCGAGGTGGAACGAACGAGGATCAGTTCGAGAATTCCCAACGTGGATCAGAGGTCAGCGAAGGGGAATCTTAACCTTTGTCTTTCATTTGTGCGATAATAGTAACTGCGAGGGAAGAGACGGAAAAGTTTGTCGCCACCAACTCTAGCATCTTTTGGACATCTTCCTGAGCCCCGACCTGATTCCCGAGTCTCGACAGTCGATTGGACTTGTGGGAGATTGGACCCCTTCTCTTTAATAACGATTGACTTCCAGGTACGGAGAGGTGATCGGATTAGGCCGAACGATGTTGCGAACGGAAGTCAAAATTTGTCGAATGCTCGGTGGGGTCCAATCGTCGCCTGCCGCCAAGTGGGCTGCCACAGTAAAGATCAAGCCAAGTCCTCGAGGGTAGAACTGAGGATTTCGATGACACCGGCTTGAGAACATTTGGCTCGGGACTGGAGCTTTCTATTGGCTGCAGGCCAGAAGATGACGGTGCTCCTGCGTTGGAAGACTCGACAGCACAAGACTCAGTGCAATTCACTGCGGCTTTTCCAACTCAGTGAAAGAGAGACAGCTCGTGAAAAACAATAGATTCTCAACTCCAACTGTGGTTTGAGAACAGCAGAGGGCCTAACCGTATACAATGGTCGACAAGGGTCAGCTTGCTAGAAACTCGTACTCATCCCCTTCTAGTCATCGTCGTTGATTTATTCTTTACATCGTCGTTGATTTATTCTTTACCACAATAATTTATACTGTTGCGGCTATCTGCAACAACCTCTTTATGACGGTGCTGGATGCTTTCATTGGTTGACTTCGGTGGTATGATCTTGTAAAAATACACCTGTTGACCTACAGGTGTTGCAGGTGAGGCCGTGTGATTCAAGCTTACCAATTGCAAGTTACGGTACCTTTCCTGTAAGTGAAGCACTTGTTAGCAAATTCACAGAAAATTCACGGAATCAAGTTTGGCCTACCCCTTGGATTCTGCATGATTATTATCCATCACAATTATCTGGTATGGCCTTCCTTACTTTTGCATGTACAGAAGAATGTAATCGTTCCTATATATTGTAGGGAATGGGGCCCTACATCCACGTTTCTCCTCCTTAACGGCCGATTTCTTCTGGATATAATAAAAGAACTCACGAGGTGAAAGAAAGAGGCAGATGAAGAATTTATAGGTTCATAGAAGACAGGGCTAATTTATCACTTAACTTTGACTTTTTATATTATTGTTCTTTCTGTTTCTTTTCATTTGCTTCTTAAGGCTCTTATGCTCTCGGAACTAAGTTAATTAATCTTTTATCTGCATTTTCACAAAGATGGATACAGTCCTGTCACATGAAATCATAGTTTTCCATTGAAACGTCGAACTTCATGATTTGTTCTCTCCTTATGATGGCGTTGCAAAAGAGCTTAGGTGTGGTCTGAATCCCAGCAATGTGACAATATATAAACACGTTCAATAATTGGTCGATGATCCCCCAGACATAGATACAACCTTCTCTGATTATGAAATTATATGACGACTTTCTTGACTTCAGCTGTAAAGCATATTTCAAGTTTTTGCCCGAATTCATGCTGTCTTTTGGCCTCTACGAGGATCTTAGTCTCACGATTCACTTACAAGAGATGCAAAACATTCTGACATAATTGTGTATGAGGAGTTATTTGACTAAGGGTACTCATAGGTTTGAAAATTCCCCCGTCTTTGACAGTTCCAGAAAAGAAGAGCTTGGATTCTAAGAAAAGGTCCAAGCATGACAAGGCGAAAATATAGATGATACGAACAGATATTCATTGAAAGTTTCTGTGTGCAAAGACCGTAATAATTTCTTCTTGTCGGTGTGTAAAGACCTTCATCTATTTATTTCTTTCTTTATTTATTTATTCATTTCTTTATTTATTTCAATCCAAAGCAACAGGGTAGGAAGCAGGAATTAATTTCAAAGTTATCTATCTTTCCTATTCTAGAAACTTTTAAGCACGTTAGATCGAAGCATATTTTGCAAACTCAGAATGAGAACATTTCGATTAAAGAAAATGATGTTGAAGAGGTGGCACTTGGTGAAAGTTGGAAGGATCTATAACTAGAGGAATGTTCTAGCACATCATTCGTAGCATATTTTGCAAACTCAAAAGGAGAACATTTCGATTATATAAAATGATGTTGAAGAGGTAGGACTTGGTGAAAGTTGGAAGGAACTATAACTAGAGGAATGTTCTAGCACATCAATCGTAGCATATTTTGCAAATTCAGAATGAGAACATTTCGATTATATAAAATGATGTTGAAGAGGTAGGACTTGGTGAAAGTTGGAAGGAACTATAACTAGAGGAATGTTCTAGCACATCCTTCTATGTGACTTAAATGTATAGCTGTTGAACTTTGGAGAGCGTCATGCAGTGAAACTTCAAGGTTTTGTAATTAACATAAGATTTTCCTACAGCGACCCTCACTTACTGTGCACGTGACCAGAGAAAGGAATAAATAATATATCCATTGTTTCTCTGCAGTATATCAGAATACCCGCTGATAAATAATTGCGTAACTATAGTTCAGAATATAAAGGTTGACAAATGGTCATTAAAAGTAGCAACTTGACTTTCTCATAAGATTTGCATTGCTCCTGCTAGACTATTCAAGATTTTTCAAACAGTTTCGTTAAGTATCGAGACTTTCTTTCTTCAAATTTGGCAACGATGAGACGACCGCGTGCTTAGATGTGCCCAAAAAAGTGAGATGATTTCTCGCTTAAGCTCCGACTCTCGAATCGCAGGTACCAAGAAGCATGTAAAGAATTGATACCAGGCGTGAAGCACTGAAAACGAGGTCCCTGAAAGCTTTATGTAAAGGTTTGCTCCTCTTCGATGTCTTCTCGTCCGTTATAAAAATATTGGAGTATATAAGCCGAGATCAAAGGGAAGTTCTAAGAAGAAGTTTGTATAGTAGTACTACAGTGAAATCACACCAAAGCTCCAAATATGAAGTCTGGAGAAAAAGAATTGAAGGAAAGTTTGAAGAGTAAGATATAGAGTGAGCAGACAGTGAATAAATTGGACGAAAGAAGTATTTGTGAAAAAAACTTTTAGCGTGAACATATCACACATTGCAATCAGAAACACTGTTTGCACCAAGGTTAATAATAGGACAAAGCCAGACATGGATCAAAAGGTAGCTTTTAGGACATACAATCAGCAATCATAAATCAACATCTATGATTTGGGTCCGATCACCATGGAATCTGCAGTTAAAGTGCAATTCAGTTCCAAGAACTTTTCCTAAAAGTAAATCAAAGTTTTGAATAATGCACACTTTTCTCTATTTAAATGATTTTAGTGCTTGTGCTCGGAGGCCTTACCATTTCAATTTCACTCTTAACTTCGCATCTGATTGGACGTTCATAAGTGTGGAGAATCTTGAGAGGATTGAAATACTCTGATGTTGATTTGTATATGTAATGGTTAAATGGAGATCTAGAAGAGGAAAGGATGATGAAGTTTGACATAACTCATTTTAAAGAAAAGGGCCTCAAAAAAAAATCAGTTTTAAAAAATATTCTGCGACAATATGAAAATTTCTTTACAACAATCACTGAAGCATTGTCACACATGTAAAACAAACGTGGATATCAATGTCCAACCATCTGTATCAACAAATATTAATTAAAGAGTATGATTTGAATGATGAAGTTTTTTATATAAATTTTTTATGAAGTTGTAACACATTTGAACGCTTTGATCAAAGTGAATGTATCTAAGTTTTTAAAACCCGAATTATATATATGTTGTGAATGATGTACATGTGGAGATCTGCATAATGAACTACCAATATCACCAACATCAAATTTTGCCAAGGGCATGTGATCAGTATAACCTGAATGATGGTGTTTTCGATATGATTAGCTTTGTTGAACACATTGTTATAAATTATGAACGCTTCAATTCTAAGAGCGGTCTATAACCTAATGCAGATATGTTTTCATTGTGTGTTTTATTCTCATGATAATCAAACAGATATTCCTTGAAAGTTGTCACAAAAACAGCATATGTCAAATATGCAAGGTGTTAGATATCAATGAAGCATTAACATTACTGTATAATCAAAGATATCTGACATAGAAAGCATTCAAACAAGAAGATGGAAGAAATTTTTAGTGATACATTTAATAGATATCAAATAATTTTTTATAATTGTGTTTGTTACATTTTTCAACACTTTTTTCAAAGTCAAGCATTTCACACTTGATACAAGAAAAATTTCCATATGTTAAAAAAAT